TAACTATTGTTTAGAAAAACAAAGTGTACATGCTAGGAGCATGGGACGACTGTTGTTTTTATTCAAGTCTTAAGTTGATTATTTGAAACATTGAATAATGTGTAATCAATATGGTGATAAATAAAAGGTGGTTTTATTTATATTCAAAAGGGTTCTGAGACCATATTAGATTCGATTATTATTGTGTTTCACTTTGCATGTTTTGACTTCCAAAATAGCTAGGTTATTCTTTTCGAATGACTAAGTTATTTAAACACTCCACAGTCGTTCATATGTTGGAAGTAGGTATGAATCAAGACTGTCATGAATCGGGTTTGTAGATGGCTAAATGGGTTTAGTCATGGCAATGGTTGCTACAACATTCATGAGTGCTCATAAGTTATGAGTATTGGAATAAACCCACGCTCACTTGTATCACTTCATGGAATTTATCTCGAGTGATCGTGAGACGGTAATATCATATAAATCTTCAAACCTAGAGATATGAGTTGTTACCTATGAGTTGGTTGTGCATTGATTGCACGTAAACGCATCAGTAACTTGATGTTATAAAACGTGCCTTTGTGTACAATTCAACAAGTAGTAGAACAAGCATATGAGTCGAAGTTTATCTGTTCCTTCTAGAAATAGAAGCGATATCTGGGCCCCTCGATGATTTTGTTGTGACCTATGTACCGGCCGGTCAGAACTGAATTGATGTGTTCGATTAAGTTCTTTGTCAAACAAATCGAAAATCGGGAAACAAACTGCTGGACAATAAGTACGACGTTGTTCCATGTATTTGTCCGGCTGATATCATGAGAACAGAGGATTATATGATCCCTTATCTAATGGACAAGTCATTGACAAGGTCAGAGTTCATCTACAAGGTCAGAGTTCGACAGAAGCTTTTGAGAGCTACGATTGCCAGTTGGTTCCTGAAGTCATACGCAATAATAGTTTTAGACTTATCCAAGTGGGAGACTGTTGGATTAATGTCTAAGTCCATAACTATAATTGGTAAGACTTGACCCGACCCGGCATGGTCCATTTGGGTTGCATACCATCATGCACTTGGATAGACTATAATGAGAGAAATAAGACACTTATGGTTATTAATATATTATAAGTTCTAGTATATTAATAATAAGAATAATAAGATTATTTAATTAGTATTGATCAAGAATTAATCTAGGATTAATTAAGTGATCAAAAGAAGACTAATTAAATATATGGGTTGATTGTGTAAATCATCCATACTTATATAGTGGGCTAATGCTCCATGGATAATCAAGTTGGGCTAAAACCCATAGGATGGTCCATGGATGCTCCATGGTGTATTTGAACCCATGGATCCAAGGAAATGGAAAGCCATGACAATTAAGGATTTACCCTAATTGTAACACTATATAAAGTTCTTATTCTTGACAAAAATCGGCCACTAGTATTATTGAAGAAGAGGGCTAGCCGATTTCATGAAGTGTAGAACCCTCTCAAGTTATTCTAAGTGTTTTGATGATTGTGATTCCATTTGAGGCTTCCACACTATTGGGGCTAGGCACTCAAGCTTCATGAAAACTTTCTACATCAAAGAGGTATGTATTCTATCTTATTACACTCATTGTTTTGTATACTAGATTAGGATAATACCTTGGATGTTCTTATTTGCATGTATTATTCTAGAGAAAACATAGATCCAAGGTATTTAGGGTTGCATGTACACTTAGGAGTGTTAGAATGCTCAAAACCCAACAGAAAGCGCCCCGATCCGAGACATTTGTATGAGGTTGACGGTGATGACTCCGATTTTGGACACCATCCGAGGAGCTCAGGCTGAGGCTGTGAGACCAGAAAACTAGAAGAGGGAGCGGGTTGTCGGTCAGGTATCGGAATTCGTTACGGATGGATGGGGACTCATGACTTTTCAGGGTCGGATTTGGGTACCGTTTGTGGGTGGTATGCGTACTATCTTGATGGAGGAAGCGCATCGATCGAAATTCTCGATTCATCCTGGGGCTACTAAGATGTATTTGGACCTAAAGAAGGATTATTGGTGGCCCTGTATGAAGAGGGATGTTGCATGGTTCGTCGAGAGGTGCCTGACTTATCGTCAGGTTAAGGTCGAGCACCAGCATCCACACGGTAAATTGCAGCCGCTGGAGATTCCCGAGTTGAAGTGGGAACAAGTTACCATGGATTTTATCACCAAATTGCCGAGGACTGCGAGGGGAGTCAATGCGAGTTGGGTGATTGTGGATAGATTGACGAAGAGCGCTCATTTTCTAGCCATCAGTGAGAGCTCTTCTGCGGAGAAGTTGGCAGATGTATATATGAGGGAGGTGGTATCGCGACATGGGGTTCCGATGTCGATCGTTTCAGATCGGGATGTACGATTTACTTCCAGGTTTTGGAAGAAGTTTCATGAGGAGTTGGGTACGAGGCTGCATTTCAGTACCGCATACCACCCGTAGACGGACGGACAGAGCGAGCGGACGATTCAGACGCTTGAGGATATGCTCCGAGATGTGTTTTGGATTTTGTAGGGAGTTGGGACACCTATTTACCCTTAGCAGAGTTTTCGTACAACAACAGCCATCATTCGAGCATTGTTATGCCACCCTTTGAGCTGTTGTATGGGAGGAGGTGTCGCACCCCCATCTGCTGGGGAGAGGTGGGGCAGCGGGTGATGGGTAGCACAGAGATTGTACTCCAGAAGACCGAGCAGATTCAGCAAGTCAGGTAGAGATTGTTGACCACGCAGAGTTGTCAGAAGAGTTATGCGGACAGGCTTCAGTCCGAGCTCGAGTTTCAGGTTGGTGACCTTGTGCTCCTAAAGGTCTCTCCTTGGAAAGGAGTGATATGATTCAGGAAGAGGGGCAAGTTGGGACCCCGGTATATTGGACCTTTCAAGGTAATTGCTAGGGTAGGCAGGGTAGCCTACCAGTTGGATCTACCTGCTGAGTTGGGACAGATCCATAACACCTTTCATGTCTCGCAGTTGAGGAAATGTATTGCCGATGAGTCGACAGTGGTGCCATTAGACGATATTCAGGTGGATGCAGGCCTGAACTATGTGGAGAGACCAGTGGCAATCATGGATCGGAAGGTTAAGGTTGTGAGGAACAAGGAAGTACCCTTGGTACAAGTGCAGTGGCAACATCGGAAGGGGTCCGAGCTGACATGGGAGTCCGACTCTGAGATGCGGGATCAGTATCCGGAGTGGTTTTCAGTATGAAACTTCGGGGACGAAGTCTGGTTCTAGTGGGGGAGAATTTTAATAGCCCGAAATCCAGGTATCCTTCTATTTAGCCCTGCATCTTTGTTATGTTTCCATTTAGGGTTTGCATGTTAGGTGAGTACGCTGGGCGTACCAGGAGTACGTTGCACGTACTCTCGCGCTTAATTTGGATGCGTTCACCCTCGGGTACGCTGGGCGTACCCAAGGTTACGCTGGGCGTAACCGGTCCAGACCTAAAAACCCTAATTCATTTGGAGGGCTATAAAAGGAATGTGTGGCTGGACTTCTCAGCCACCATCCCTCAGAGAGAAATCCTAAAGAGAGTGTGCATTCGTTCTTAGACCATTTTGTGAGTATTCTAAGCTTGGTGGTGCCATTCCAAGGTAGTAAAGGAGAAGAAGAGCTCATTGGGAAGGCTAGAAGTGGTGTGCAAGTGTGGATCTGAGCTTTGCAAAGGTTGAAGCTTCATTATCAGGTAAAAAGTTCGGATCTTGACATATGGTTCATGTTATATGCTTCAAGTACCATTTTCTAGGGTTTTAGTCCCAAAGGTGGAGACTTTTTGTGCAAATGGTCTCCATAAGCTTAGATCCATCATATTTCTGGTCTATTGGAGTTGTAGACTCATAAAAATGATATCTTGGACATGAATGTTGCACCATGCATGAGATCTAGGTCCTTGAGTTGGAATAGAATGATGTTAAGAAGTGTTGGAGCCTTTATAGCCATGCCAAGGCTTAAAGGTCTTGACTTTATGGGTATAGATGCATAAACAGAGCCGGATCTAAAAGTTAGAGTAATGGCCTAATCGAATAAGACCAGAAATGTTGTATGCTAAAGTCTGATGGTTACGCTGGGCGTAACTCCCAGTACGCGCAGCGTACTGGGTGGAGACCCCGATCCATGGGTTGGCGATGTACGCCCCGCGTACATCAAGCAGTACGCCCCGCGTACTCACAAGGTTGACTTTTGTTGACTTTTAGGGTTTTGGTCAACATGAAGACTTTGGGTCAAGGAAGGGTAAAATGGTCTTTTACCCTCTGAGGAATGATGATAAGGGGTAAAGTTTAATTGTGGAAGTCTTTGATTATTAAAATGATATTTTTATGATTAGGCGAGGTAGAGTCGTCGTTGGGATTTGGAGATAGCAAGTACGCGAGATCTTAGACTTTCCATGAGGTGAGTTTTCTCACTATACTGTACCCCGAAGGGTTTTATTTTGTGACCGGAAGGTCGGATATATTATGAGTTATATGCATTGTATGTGATAAGTTAATTGTTTATATGTGCCATGTATGATATGCTTGATATGGGCCGGAAGGCATGATGTTTTGGGCCGGAAGGCGTATATGTTATGGGCCGGAAGGCGTGGTGATGTGGACCGTAAGGTTGACGCAGGTAGGACCGGAAGGTTTTCCTAGTCGGAACGGAAGTCCCCTGAGACACATGGACCGGAAGGTCAGGGCCTGGAAAGGCGTATGTGTGTAAGTTGTATTTTAGGGAACTCACTAAGCATTTATGCTTACAGTTGTTGTGTTATGTGTTTCAGGTACTAGCGAGGACCGTGGGAAGGTACCGGCGTGATTGTACACACTGTCGGAGAAACAGTTTTTATAATCATGGGATGTATTTTGTTATGATAACATTGTTCACGTTTGAATTTGGAATATTAAGCGATGGTTTTTGATGTTTGCAAAAATGAAAATTTTGTTTTAAAATTTACGTTGTTACACAAATCCTACTTGGAGTTTGCATATGGTAACCAACATAGATTGTTGAGATCTTAATAGGCGACACGTGGAGGCGGAGAAGAACAAACAAGTTGCAGGTTTTCGACGACTTTATAGTTGTAGGTTTCTGGTGACTTTGGGGTTTGAAAGCTTCCGATGTCGGTATTCACATGCTTGCTGATGGCGACGACTTTAGAATTAGAGGTTTCCGGCGACGACTCTAACACCCTGTTCTCGAGTTCAACTTAACGAGAGAAAGGAAAGGAAATGAGTGGAAATGAGAAGAAAATAAAAAAGATTGGTGTTCCTGAGTTTCATTAAAGGAGAGAAGTGGAAGGAAGTGGAGGGAAATGGAAGGATCACTTTCCCTCTTAATTTTCCTTCCGATTTGGGAAAGAAAGAACAAAATGATTCATTTTCCTTTCACTTCTCTCCAACTCGGGAACGTGGAGTGTAGATCAATGCTTTAGGGTTGAGTTTAGAGGGACAAAGATGACTACTTGAGCTTACAATCGACTTCAGGTCTAAGAAGGGAATTGGTGGGCTGGGGTTTGGGGATGTGTGGGGTGGGGCCCTGAGCTTTTTAGTAATATCTAAAATATTTTTTATGAAATAATCAGAATATTATAGTCTTTTTATGTCTGGGGCTAAAACCGAAATAAAGGTAAATTGTAGGGATAGTCTGAAGGCAAAGCAAAAGTTAGGAAATTTGAACAAGCACAATTTCAGTAATTTGTTCAAATAATTTTAATGTATAAAAAAAGAACTCAAACTTACTCGGTTTACATCTCCATTAATTATTTTGCCACATCAATTTATGAAGAATATGTTCCGATTCTCTAATGTAATGTCTATTTGTTTAAAATACGATTTAATATTCGATTGCTTTTAATATAGGTCTTAAACTTTTTTTTTTAATCAATGCTAGTATACATGTTAAACCCAGTTTTTGAAGAAATCCTTCGGTTCGATGTGGTCTAGAAGTTAGCATAGAACTAATTAGGAGTGTTCATAAACGGATATCCGAAAATTCAGACATTCAAAATTTCGGATAGTTGATTTTTAGTATCCGATTCTGTATCCGAAATTCGGATATCTGAAATTTTGGATGCGGAATCGGATGCCAAATCGGATATCCGAAAATTTGAAATGTTGTTAAAATTTGAAAGACATATGAAGTTTTTAAATTAGAAAGACATATTTTTAAATTAGAAAGGCATATGAAGTAATATAATTATTTAATTAAGAGTATTATGAACATGTTTTGGTTACTAACATTCATATCATAAAACATGTGACTAAAATAACAAATAATGTATAAACTAAAATCAAAATTTTCGGATATCGGATATCCGAATTATCCGAAAAATCTGAAAACACTATTGAATTTCGTATCCGAAAAATCGGATATGCGAAATTTCGGATATCCGATTTTTTAGATAATTCGGATTTGGATTTTCGGAATTTCGGATATGAATATTTTTGAACAGCCGTAGAACCAATCGTTATCGAACAAGTCTCATCTCTGTTTCCCCTTCATACCGGTTTGAATTTGTTTTTAAAACATTGATGATTTGATGAATAGCCAAAAATTAAAGAAATGACCATTTTAGCCAATGAAATTGAAGACAGCATGCCCTCAACTGCGATTTCGTTTAATGGTTGTGATTCGGTGGCCCACTGTGATTTCGTGGTTTGTTACCCCAATATATTTAAACTCTTAAAAAAATTAACCTTATTTTTTCATTTTCAAGATATTCTCTTTGATGGCTGAAACTGGATTTCCTTCTAACAACGTTGGTAAGTATATCTTATATCTACTTTCGTTATTCGTACACTCAACAAACAAAATCACAAATGGTATGTGTCCTATGGCCGCTATTACGTAGTTTTACAAGATTTGTACGATCATAGATGATCATGTCATATTTTACAATTTGTACAAATTATCGGTGTGCATTCTGTATTCTATAAGAACGGCTGAAACAATGGTATTTTTTTTTTTTGAACTTGGTATAAAATTCTCTTTACTTGATATGTTTTTTAAAACACTTTTTATTTAAAACAAATTTTTTCAAAAACTTTAACAATTTAGTTTTTTATGACATTCAATACAGAAAGTGATAATATATTGAATCCGCCGAATACTGCCAGCGGCAGCACAGCTACACATGTGAGGTAAATCAGAACAAATAGACAGGAGAGGGATAGAGAGAGATAGAAATCACATGAGTCATGACCACCAAAAAGGAATATAGACCCTCAATAGTTTCCCAAATCAGACAATGGGAAATAGTAAAGCCAAAATACAAGCTTGTCCATAACACATTTCCCTAGCCTAAAAAAGCAACCCCATATAGAAAATAATACTACAAGCTTGTCTACAACCACATGCATGCCTTCTATCTTTCTACATGCATTATCCACTTGTACCTTTCTACATGCATTACCCACTTGTACATACCCACTCACTCATCAAAATATCAAATCAACCCCACAATATCATTACCATAATAATACCCACCACGAACACCAACACACTAAAACTCCTCCGCCGCCCACCACCGCTAACATCGTTCATACCACCTCCTGTTGGACCCAAACCCGTCCCAACACCGCCACCTAACACCCCCGTGTTGCCTGGGTTGTTCCCATATGGAGTGGTTGTGCTGCCGCCTGACGCCGTCACAGTGGTGGAACCTGGTGTTCTCGTGTTGCCACCTGGCATCGTTGTACCACTGCCACTGCATACATAATCACGACCAATCGATAAGTCACCATGACAAGTCGTAAAGCAATACACAAATGAATTCAAATATTGTTATAAATAGTTGTATATCATGCAACAAAAGTTGCAAGTTACTTTTGAGAAAAAGAACCTACTTTACTTTCAATCAAGACAAAACAAACATTATTACTTTAGCTTTTACTTTTTGATATTATCTCTAAACCCTTGCAAATTTCATGAACAAAACAAGATTGGTCAAATCTTATAAAGCCTGTTATAATAAGTTGTACCTCGTGAATGCATTACGGACTTGTACAGTACAACTACAACTAAACATAGCAATATTGTCGGTGAATGTATGTGATAACAAGATATATGTTCGGGCTTGTTTTGAATTTTGATAACGTCAATAATTGATTCATTATTTACATGATACAATTTCACATATCAACGTACAAGTCGCTATGCATAACGTACGACATTGAAGAGATATTTGATCTGCAACACATTTATTGGTCTGTCTCATAGTTATGTTTTGTCCGTGGGGGTGTACAACTCGGGAAGGACAAGGTACAATACCAGTTAACGCACATTGGATACTCTGAATGATAATGGGAATCGTACAACTCGTTTAAGCACAAAAAGACATTATGGTACAAGTCAAAAGTTGATAAAGCTCATTGTCTCAAAAAGCGGTTTTCTTTATGGACACATTTCCAAATTCAAGTATACTTCTAAACATTAAACATAAACTAATTTCCTTGAATATAATATTTCCTATTAAAGGCATTTGGTTTTCTATTTCTAACATTAAAAATAAAATAATATTCTTGAATATTTCCTATTGAAGAAAGGCATTTGGCTACAATTACATACCTGGCGGAAGAAGGATACGTACACCCATTAGCACCTGTTCATAAACAACCAAAAAAAAAAAAAAAAAAGATAATTATCAATAAAATAAAATAACAAATTACACATAGTTGTGTGTGTAATGTGTAGATATAAGGGAGAAGAAGAAGACTAACTGGGGTCAACGTTGACCACCATGGCTGCACCATTGAAGACACAGGCCTCCGGTGCCTGACGTTTGTTCTGAAAGTAGCTGTTGACGGCGTAGTTGCAGTGGTCGATGACGGTGTCCGGGTTGTAACATTTGCCGCCTTGGTGGGTCTGGGTGCAGTCTGCGCCATTTCCACAGGCGTAGTCTATTGCCATCTGTAACACCTTATCGTTTCCACCTTTTTTGCACACACACCATGATGCACCTATACATACATACGTATATTATACATGTAAGTCTTACAGTATGAAGAACAACTTTCGATTCACGGTGTACAAGATTTGGAATTTGGAAATGGAAAACAAAAAGAAAGAAAGAAAGAAATGCTTACTGGAGTGAGCGACCATGGAGGAGAAGAGGAGAAGAAGAAGAACCCGAGTAGCCATTGTTGTGATGTAAGCTGAGGAGCAAGAAGGTTGGAGAAGATGAAGAGGTAGAGACTAGAGATAGGGAGTGTGAGTGAGAGGGTATTGGGTAAGTGAACGGGTTTAAAACTTTAAATGAAAAGGTAAATCTTTAGTCCAGAGAAAAACTGGTGAAGCCCACCTCAAGATTTTGACGATTAGGTGTACTTAGTTCATTGAAAGTTGTACTTGAATCTGGATTTGGTTATGACAGCTCTGGGAAAGGAAATTACCGAAGATAATGGGATCTCTTATTTTATGGAGATATTGAAATTAAATAATTTTTAAAATAATTTTCATCTGACAAGGGATCCAGGCAGCGAATGTACTATTGTCGGGGGATCAATAGTGGGGATATGAATTTTAAATGTGGTTCATTGGCCTTTTCTAACGGGTATATTTTGGATTTCAAAAGATTTATAAGTAAAAAGTTCATCTATTAGTCCGTTTGATATGCCCAACATCATACCCACCCATTAGGGGGTAATGGGTGTCGACTGCGGTTTAGAATTATGATTGTGCCACATCAACCGTAAACAAAATTTTTATGCAGTCATGGCCGCACTACGGCTAGACATAACTACGGCCTGAGATTGGTTGGTGGTATTGACTTCCTTTTTGACTGTTGAACGATCATTGATTTCGTGTAATTTATATATATAACCATTATTTACACAACCTAAACCAAAATCTTTACTCTTTTTCTCCAACTTTTTTTTTGAAAAATGTCTTTTTTCAAAAAGGCTCAGCAAAGAAAAAAACACCAGTTAGAAACTCCACCACTCCAATACATTCATTTGATCAACATCAATCGGTTTTTTCACCTCCGTATTACCACTACGGCGTTATGCTTCCGTATTTTTCACAACGACCAGCACAACCACTACCACAAACACTACCACAACTTGACCCAGATTTTAATTCATTTGACTTTTTGTCTCAACCCGAGTTTGTTCAACAAACACAAACACAACCAGAAACAGTTGTTTCTGATTCCGAACGGAAATTCGTTACAGAAACTCAGCACACTCGAACAACAACTAAAAAGAAAAGAGAAGGTGTAAGCTAAATGTTGGGAACCTCTAGAAGTATTAGTTTTGGCACAATCTTGGATCGATATTTCAAAAGTTGTGACGGTTGGAAAAGACCAAAAGCATGACCGCTTTTGGATTCACGTTTTACATAGGTTCTATAAATGAATGAACCGTGGAGAATACCATACAAAACATCAAATTTACTCCAAATGGGAGAAGATGAACAAGGAAATCATGTTATTTAATGACTTGTATAACAACAGAAACGTTAATAGAAAAGTGGAGAAAGCGATGAAGTGATTTTTGAAGGAAGTGTTGAAAGTGTATCAAAAAGAAAATCTGAAGGCTTTCAAGTTTCTTGGAGTTTGGAATTTTTTGAAAGATAACAAGAAATTGCTGAGTAGCAAAACATCAGACGAGCATATCGAAAGCGGTTCAAAATGCAGCAGAAAATCTGAGTCCGGCCATACTACATCAAATGCTCGTGTTCAATTTGATATGAACGAAGATGAACTTGTTCCAATTTCACCACCTCCCCAACCAATGGGAAGAGACAAAGCAAAAAGTGAACACAAAGGCAAAGCGTAATTCAGATGAGCTGAAAGAAATGGGGGCCAACATGAAGAGTATAAAAGACAGAATTGACAAGATTTTGCAAATTACTTATGAAAGAGTGCTTCGGAAACAAAGGGAGAGCGACATGCGAATACTAGCGATGGACACGTCGAATATGACTGGGGATGAGCTTCAAGTTATTTTGACGATGAAGGAGGAAGTGAAAAAACGTTACGTAAATCATGACTAATTTCTATTTTATTTTAGCTTTTGGTGTGTGTGTGTGTGTTTTAATAAGTTGTAGGTTTTATGTTTTTAATATGTTTTTCTAGATTTCTAGTTATTTTTTTTATTATTATTTTTTTTAAGTTAAGCAATGTATGGTATTTGTATTTTTAATTAATGAAATATTATCTTTTTAAAATTATGTTTTTTTTGTTAAAAAAGAAGTGTTATTAAATTAAAATAGCCAAAAAAAAAAGTGTGGCACCACTCCTTCGGTGTGGCCAAAACGACACTAGTGTGGTAAAATATGACGAGACGCTTATGTGGCGGTGAAGGAAGTGCGGTTTCGGTGACACCACTCCCTCCAGCCTAACGTAGCCAATAACAACGTTATGGACTCTCTACGTAGACAATAACGCCGTTGAGACGACCCAAACCCACTGCTCTTAACAAATATCGATAACATTTTATGAGGAACTATATTTTGATGGTTTCGTTAACAAAATTAACATTTTTCATTCTTATATAACATAACTACGTATATAAAAATATCTATATATAAAACTCGTGTGTTACATGAGTTGATTAAATAAAATTAAATATCAAAAGGTAAACAATATGTATGTTTTAAAATAAAATTCAAAATAAAGAATAAAGAAAACGTATTAATTGTAATTTACTATCACATTTATTACATTTAATACTTTACATATATAAATACAAATATTATGTGGCTTTTTAATTTTACAATTTGAAAAAAAAACTTATATATGAATATTATTTATTTTCAAAAATATCACCATATCACAAATGTCAAAACTTTTAAAATATTGATATATGACAAAATGGTTCTTCATTTATTATAATAAATTACTTATTTTGTGATAACAATCATTCCAAAATGACTTTTTCTATCAAGTTGTGTTTTTTCTTACATAAAAGTATTACATAATTTGTATGCTACAAAATAATTTTCAAGGAATTTTAAAATGTATTATCATGTTTATTTAGGTTTGGTGATGTCCTTGTGAAATTCTTTTTTCTTGCGAAATTTCTTTATATATATATATATATATATATATATATATATATATATATATATATATATATATATATATATATATATATAAAGCCTTTAAACGATCATTTCCTACATAAAATTAATTCATCGAATAAGATAGACATCTCCAATCTTACACTAAAAATTTATTTTTACATTATAATATTTCAATCCTACAATGTACTTAACACTATATATAGTGTTGTATTTTAATGTAACACTATATATAATTTTGGAAGTGTAACATTGAATATAGTGTTTAAAAAAAAACAAAATAACTATAATATTATTTTTTGTTTTAAATATAGTATAATGGATTGGAGAACTTTAGTGTTTACATTATCTTTTACACTATAATTATAAGTATATTGTACAAAAAGTGTTAGAGGCCATTATAGAGTTTGCATCTTCCTTCCCCTTCATCAGTTGCATGAAATTGTTGAGGAAATGGTATCTTAACTGCTCAAAACTCGAGATGTTGCCCATTCGCAGCACCTTGAACTATTTTTCGGCGTTTCCTAATAATGTAACAGGGAAATACATTCAAATGAACCGCTTGTCCCTTAGTGATGTCATCTTTAATTCATAGGTGTTAATGTGCTCATCGGGGTCGGATGTTTCGTACAAATGAGCTGCTTCCTCAGTTGCATGAAATTGTTGAAGAATAGGTATCTTAATTGCTCGAAACTCGAGATGTTGCCCGGCCACAGTGCCTTGAACCATTTTCCGACGTTTTTTGATAATGTAACAGGGAAATACGTATAAATGAACCGATTGTCCCTTAGTGATGTCATCATCCATTCATAGGTGCCAATGTGCTCATCGGGGTCGATTGTTCCGTTATACTTGGGAATGTTTGGTATCATCGCTGAGTGTGGGGTATCATATTGCAAGAGCTCCTGGAAAAAAGTGGAGCTGGTGCTTCTCACTAGGTTTTCCATGTGAGAGTATGGAAAGCCACCGTACATCATAAGCTGTTGAGCGTAATACGAGTTCTGGTACGCTTGGTTGTACAAACCGCTTGAGAGATGTATGGTTGTTACTAGGAGCTCGATTGTGTGCTTTGCTTCCGTTATGAGCTTGATTCGAGCTGCTGGAGTGTGTTCAAAATTAGAAATGGCAATGCGGTGAGTTGGGGGTGGGGCAGGGTATCCCATACCCAAACCCGAAATCAAAATTTGTTCCTATCCTCGACCCGATACCCAATGGGGCTGAAATTTTCCCCAAACCTAAACCCGAAACTTGATATAGACCCGAAAACCCGACCCAAAACCTGAATCTATGCCAAAAAAGATTTAAACTAGTTTGGAAAAATCTACAATGGAATAATGAGAAATTAAATCCTTACAATGCCAACTTTTATAGTTTTACAAATTCAACAATATATTTAAACCATACATGAACCTCTTACAGTTCATCTTCATCTTCATCTTCATTAAACCTTACATACATTGTTATTATGCTAAAAAATGGAAATAACCTATATTAAATAACCAGAGTTCTCATCTCCGTCAAACCATAAGATCTGAAGGGGTATTACAAGGGGTATTACAAAATGTTTAGACCTTCATTGATTAAAATGATTGTGAGAGTCAAAGTTGATGGGGAATGGCCTTGCATACCAAGCATCTCATCCAAACCCTTCAATCTCTCTATTCCTTAACTAATCAAGTAAGGAAACTTTTGTTTGTCATTGCAATCTTTGTGTCTTCTCAATTTTGTTGTCTAGCTGTTTACATCAATTCACCTAGAAACATATTGTTACAAATCAGATACATATATAAATGGTTTTAATAAGATAAACCCATATGTGTATTTGCATCAATATATATCAGTTATAAAGGAAAAACATAATATTAGTGAGTGTGTGTGTGTGTGTGTGGGTGTATATATATATATATATATATATATATATATATATATATATATATATATATATATATATATATCGGGGAAGAGATATCCTACTCCCTGCCTGAACTCGATAACAATCCCCGATAATGACTCGTCACCCGATAAGAGCGACCCGACCCGCCCCAAAATCCTTGGGTTTTGGGTTTCCCCGTCGAGTTCGAGTTTTTTTTTTTACATCCCTATTTGGAATTGACCCATGAGGTTATTGACTGTAGATATTGAGTTGTTGCGTCGATGACATTTGAGGGTTGGATTCTTGTGACAATGGTGTTTGGGGGTT